GTTGTAAACAATTTGCTATTCAAAATATTTTGTAATTGTTATTGTCGTTCTAAAACTCGAAGTATTATATATTATATATTATATATAATATATATTTGTACAAAGGACAGGTCAGTCGTAAGTATTATTACTGAATATATAATATAATATATTTAAATATTTAGTTATAATTAATTGGAACTTATTTACAAAGTTATGGGTTTCCTTATTTGAAGAGGATTATTAAACAAATATCTCTACACTGTCCTTACCCTACTAATTTTCAAATAGTTAATTATRCTAATTGCAGTTTAAGAGTAATAACAGTTTAAGAAGTCAAACATTATGTTACTTAATTGTGGGTACCTACTTGAGGATTTCATTGAGTCTATTATTGTAACGTAATTGACAAACAAAATAATTTCTTGGTTTAACATAAAATGTATAACAAATTAGTATTAAAAAATACAAAACACAGTGTTTCAATTTTACGTTTTAATATATTTCATATTTAATGTATTTATGCAAATTATTTCAGTAGAATAAATTAAAAATTCTTGTTTTCCTGGTTTGTTTTATACCAATAAGTATTGTTACAGACTCTAATCGAGCATAAATATTTGTCTGTAATTAAGTTAGGATAATTATATCGGTTAAAATTCCTTTTGTATTATTATATCTATTATTGTCTATGTATACATATTTTTTGTAAATCGTAGAAACTAGATTGTCTACCATAATATTTTATTATTTTTTAGATTTATATCATTTCTATAGGTAGTTAATTACTCAAATTATATTATCATACTGTTAAACATACTCTACTTAAACAGTCATTATTTTACACGTGACTGTTATTCTATTTATACATCATATTAAAATGTTATAATAGAAGTGTTTTAGATTAATGAAAAAAGAAAGTTATTTACTGATATTTTAATTTTTCAGGGTTCGAGTTTGGGCCAAGAAGTTTTCGATGTGGTTGTGAGACATTTAAGCCTTCTCGAAACAGCTTACTTTGGGCTTCGTTATTTGGATTCTCAAAATCAAACTGTAAGTCAAATTTAAAATTTTTTTGTTTTTAATTTATTAATTTTTATCATTGATATTTGCATAGTTATACAATGAGTAAATTGGTGTGAAAGAGAAGTCGCCCATTGATGATATCCCTTGAGAAAGTTTTTAGGCAGCGAGACTTCTTTAAAGTGCCTGGGTGATGCATTACCTGTAATTTGCTTGGACGAGAAATGATTTATAGTAGGATTTGAGTGAGAACTGAAAATGTTGGGTGCTTTTTTTATAGGTGAGTGTAGCAAGATTATTTAAGGTTGGAATGCAACGTCTCTATGAAGCCGAGTCATCAGTGATGTACAAGGGAGCATATTATGATAATAATTGTAGAAAATTAAAATGTAAAAAAAAAAATATTTATTATTACAAAGTGTATTAAACACATTAAAATTGTTTATATAGACGATATTTTCTATAACTGTTATTACTTCGTATTGGATAATTAAGATTTTTACGAGTAATATTAGTAATAATATGTATATATGCGTAAAATAATGAGTCGTTTGTATTATGATTATAACTATAGTGAATCAGAGAACACATTTATTTATTTTATTACCTATAAGTAGGTTATCTAATAAAGTAGTTTTTATAGGTCATAATGTTTATAACGACAGACGAAATTAAGGTCCATTGTTTAGTATAGCCGGTGTAGGTAAACAGTGTACAATGTACATAAATAATAGATAACAAATTATATTATATTATTTATATATTAAATAGGAATGTACAAAAGTCATAGGTACTATAGTACCATAGTACTATAGTTATATAATAATATCTCAAATTCAAAAAGATTCACACAACTATTTGTGTCTATTTATATTTTATAAGTAGGTTTTAAAACGGCATTTTTTCTATAATTTTTATTTTTTAAATTCATGAAGTTTTACAATCCACACGTTTTTATAATACAGTATGCATAAAAGATAATGTAATAATTCAGGACTTGTTGTCGTTTGGGGGAAGGGAGAGAACTTTCACTTACGACACTTTGGTATGATTATTTATTAAGAGGTTATGCATGTTTAATTAATTAAATAATAAGAGGTCGGGACCATTGTCCACGCTTGGACCTTTTGCATGAATTTCCGGGAATAGAGAAAGACAGAGAATGGTTTGAACGTGGGGGTTGTTATGATATTGAAGCCTGAAGGTGGCTATTATTCACGTTGAATATCTAAGTTTGGCTATTTTAGTAACCTTAAGAATGTTGACCAATGTGGAGTATATGCGTGTATATTATATCTAGTAGATCTGGTCAACATAAATGAGCTAGAAAGTCCCTATATATTATGGATATTAGTTTATTCCCCATAACTAAATAAAAATAACAATTATAAAAGTTGGTGTAAAATTAAATTAAGCTTTCAGGTCTGGGAAATTGAGTTATAATATGGTCATACTTGTATACAAACATACGGTCTGAACTCTGGAGGATATGATTTGAACAACGAGCGGAGGATGATATTAAGTTATGAGTATTACGGCTTATACTAGTCTAAAGATTTTAAATTGAAATAATTTTTTTTTTTGTGGTGCCTCAGAGTTAAATATCATAGATAGAAATGACTGCATGAGATTATAATTTTTGTTTTGAAAAGGAGTTTTGATTATTTTTGCTCTCTGCAATTTAAACCCGAAAAAGTGACCTCTTGTTTTGCTTTTCAATACATGCCTATTTGCAAAATTGTGTTTAGCACTCCGCAGTTAATAATGTTTTACGCCGTACAACTTTTGCCGTAGTATTTTGTAGTAACACAATAGTGCGTGAATGTGTTGTGTGTGTGTGACCGACGACCGTCCTGTAGTTATTATGTTTAATTATGATGATATTAACACAGATGCAGTAGTATTGTTAATTATTGTAAACATAATACTTGCATATAGGTATTATTATAACATTATATTATGTGTGTGTAGTATCCATACGCGGTCGATATTAATTTATATTTTATATGCTTTTGTTTCAGCACTGGTTGGATCTGTCCAAGAAAATGAACAAACAGATGAAGGGTACGTACACGTGTATATATATATACTATGTTATATTATTATATTACGCGTGCGATTTTGTGTTAAAACCTTTTCGGCCAAAAGTTTGCGCGTGTGTTATTGTCGTAACCGCAACCACGGTTTCGGTTAGTCCTTTCGGTAGACGCGGCATCAGTTACGGTGGTGCTAACCAATATTTACGTCCACGGGGGGTACCCATAACGTATTAAATCGGATATCTATGTACCCATGTATACACGAGCGGCGCTTTGCGGGCGAGAAGGGAGGGCACTCTGCAGAGGCTTATTAATGGGGTTAGTCGCGCGGTGGATATGCGTTAAAACCTTAATAATTGTATAGTTGCATAATATAAATAAGCCTGGGCCACAACCCTTGTCAACGGCGCGTGTGTACTCGGTCCTGAATTTTTTTTTATCCCACCCGAACATGTATGTGGAATGTGGAATCACATTTCAAAATCAGAACTGTTATAGATGTAGGGTAATGTTGGCTACATTGCCATTTCCTACCTCTGTTCAGTGTCAGTGACTATACGCAGTACAAAATATATGTTATCATTCATACACATGACACAAACCCACAGTTGTTGTTACTTATGTATTTTTATGTCTTTTAAAAATGTGTTTTAATTATGCAATAAAATCTTTTATTCATACTATTTGATTTATGTCATGTTACTAATTTTTTTTTTATCTATATCTATTATCTATTATATGGATGATTTTATTGAAAATTTTTTTGTATCTAAATCAAAACTTAATGAACAATTTCTAAATTATGAAACTTAATATTATATACCTTATAAAGTTAGCAGTCTATATACTAAGTTTTTACATGCAACTTATAAAATAGATATAATATATAAGGTCTAGAATTTAGTATATTACGTACTTTGTTTTGCTAAAACTATATTTTGCACAGATTATCACATTTCAATAAATTTATTTTGATTAAAAATTACTATCATATATCATCACAGCCGATAAATGTTCTCAATTTATAATATTGATTGGAGCTATTATGGTCTAAGTATTTATAATTTTGTAACTTAGATAATCATTGGTTAGAATTTCAATTTAGAAACATTAAACTTTCAATTGTTGAGTAGGAAATTATAATAGGCTTAAAAATTCCAAAAATCAATTCTTATGAATTAAACTATTGAATTAAATTATTATGAGTAGTTGACCTAATGCCGTCGTATTTAATAATGTTATGATCTACGTCCTACAAGATCTATATCATTGCTCAAGTCTAGTCCTTGTAMACCCTCCGCTAATACTATAATAATTATAACAATAATAATAATAGTAATAATAATAATATCGTAACTACTGCTGTGCATGTTATTACCTACTGGGTACACACACGTTCACATACGCCACCACTCTCTCGACCCGGGGTTTTAATGGCAGTAAAAAACATTTCGATTAAAATCGCCAACGCTTGTGATTTACGACCCAATAACGCGCATATCGGCTGCGGCTCCTTCCTCGTCGTACACGACCTATATTATAATAATATATATATACCGGAATTGTTTCGAAACGCACAATAATCCGACACAACACCATAATAATACTTCACAGTAAAATCAATATATTTACCTATTACCAAAACGGTAAAATTGATAATTGTACATCGTGACTCGTGAGTCAAAACATGCGAATTCACATTAAGCTTATTATTTTACTGTGAGACACTCCCCACCATACATCACCTTTACTGCCAGTATTTCAAAAACAATATTTTATACTTACCTATAAAATATATTTATATGACGTGACTTGCATTCTAAACTTACTCGATGATTATAAAAGTTACGTAAATTTATGAAAAATTAATTTTATTTATAATATTTTTTGTTTTTAAATTAAAATACAAGGCTGTCGATTTTCGACGCCATCGGCGTGCATTAAAGCCAACGAATGCGTTAAATAATCTCGTTGTATAAATAAATAATTACTGTCGGGATTTAAGTATAAAAATAATGAAAAACTAAGATTATTTTAGGATGGTCGTCTTAAATCAAAAATAGAGTACGTGAACATCGCTCAACGGAGTTTTAGCACGCTCGATAGAGAGAGATTAATATTTTTTTTTTAATAACGAGTACCGGTGGAAACTAATTTGGGTGTCTATTACTTTTGCTTGTATTTTAAGTAGCTGTAAAACGTGCTTGTAATTAATTTCGCGACATTAATTACGCCGGATATTGCTGCATGGGAGGGTGTATATAGTGGAAAGAGAGTAGTCGGCCAGGTAAATATCGCATTCATTTTATTGGCAATGTAAAAACGCAGAGACGTCTTTATGCTCGTAAAGAAAAAAAATAAGTAAAATAAATCACGAACGCTTTGTAAGATCAATTTTGTGGGCAAACGTTTCTTTTATTAAAGAATTCACGGAGGGATATAATTTTTTAATTTTTCTTTTCGGTTTTTACCGACCCACTAACTATACATAGTCCTTACAGGACAGAATTTAGTATTATGAGGTATACAGTCTGAAAGTTATTCCCGCTGGGAAAGCTAGTGATGTCAGTAATCAGTATACAAAGTTTGATGCTCCACGTCGACTAATTGGTTCACCCCTACCTCATTTCACTCACCATGTCCGAGTAGTGGTGGTCTACCTCCGTATAATACCACGTATCTCCATTAAATTATATCGGTGTACGGTTCACGAACACGACATCAGCTATTCTGAGAACTATGCATATTGTATAATAATTCTCACTGGACTCTTTCGTTTTCTTTAGAGAAACCGTATTATATGTATAATAATATTGATTTGTCTTGAAACCCAACTGAAACATACACAAATAGGTATTACATTATGTGTAGGTACAAAATGCAAATAAAAATTGGACAGGGTTTTTATTTTGGCATTTTCACGTTTCAGGTAACGAGAACTTCACGTTTTACTTCGGAGTGAAATTTTATGCCGCTGACCCGTGTAAGCTGGTCGAAGAAATCACCAGGTAAGATATTATGCCGATTTATATATATATATATGGGAACATAAAAGTTATAAATGTATAATGTTATTATAATGACTAAACGGTGTTAGGCGTTCATATAAATATTGAAGATATTAAGTTTCTGTTTATCCACGCTTATATAAACAAGTCTAAACCGGAAATATTGCAGTGTGTATTAATACCTATATGATTTTATGCATTTCTCATCGACGAATTTGATCTCGTAAAACAAAATACCAATCTATTGTGCCTACGCGGTGAGTAATTAGCTACAGGTTCTATCTTGAAATCAAACGCTCGATCGACTTCGTGCAGATCTTTTTTTATTATAATTTATATTTTATCGCATTTGTTATTATAAACATGATCAGAAGTAATAACTTCACGGAATGGAGAAAACTTCAACTGCGTACTTATCTTTTATCATTCAATGACGTATTCAATAATATTATTTAAATTTTGATTTTTGGGATGTGTTTTATTGCATACCAAAGAATAAAGACCATACTGTTTTTCAAATATTACGACTATCGTGGCTGAGCATATGTGCTCAATAAATCGCTCTGTATAACATCACGTACCTATACTTACAAACGGATCGTTATTACAATATTGTAAGTTAGAGCGGAACGTCTTGTAAAAAAATTCCCGTCACACCATCATAACTACGGGCGTTTTTACCGGAAAATAGTACAAAAATAATATACCTATCCACTAGCGCGAACTCGTACTAAAATTATCTGTATACTGTATAATATAATTACCGTGGTTGCAGTTAAACGTCTGTCGAGCGACCGCGTATCGAGTCTGAAGTGGGCACTTGAACTCTCAATTATTGGATCCCGTGATCTACGGTTGTTTTAATAATACCTATGAGTGTGTTACGATTGATCGCGGTTGAATTATCGACGTAACAGAAGAGTTAGTGTGTTCGGGTCGGCTATCGCGTGGGCGGCAATCGTAGTTTTTGTGCCACGGTTTATGCAAATAATATATACAGTAACACAATATTATAATTTTACATTTTGCCGGTATGATGGGTACGGTTGGGTTTTTCGTAATTTTTTAGAGCCGTGAACATGAAATCTGATAGAAAAACGCAGGGTAATCTCCTCTCAAACTCCGACATATACAACACCGCCAGCACAAGTTTTAGATCGATTAGATAATCAAAAACAAACACACTCCGACGCGATATAATATATGTTATTGATATATTTTTAACATTGGTGAAAATAATTTTAGGCGCATAAATTATAACACTACCTATAAATTATCATGGAAACTATACGAGGAAACCAACATTTCGATCCTCGAGGTTGTTTTAATGGCGTGCTCGCGGTTAATATAGCATTATAATAGATTTTTATCGTTCCAAGGCGCATATTATTAAAAATAAAAAAACCGCGTGTCGCAATCGATTTAAACTCCGTGGGAGTGTATATTATAATATTGTATGATTAAGAACACTGCAATTTTATTTTACACCATTTGCGTACCAATATATTTTATAGCGTAAATGCCCAACTACGAAGACTAAGACGAAAATTTTTTCCTCATTTCTATCCCTCAAGTACCTATACTRCAGAGTAATTAATTAAAGTTGTCCGTAAATTATAATAAATTCATACTATTCATATTATATTAATTTTAGAAAACTTCTTTTTTTAAATGGAATTTAATTTAACTTTTATTTATAAACAATAAAAATACAAAAAAGTGTATACCAGGTAATTTTTTTATAAAAAAATTCGTTTTATCAAAACTGACGTTGTTTTCAGATTGCATTAGCAGATTTTTTCTTCACATTGGCTTATATTTTTTTTCGGATAAATAACCGTATTTTTTCCCTATACTTTTTTGGATCTATTATTCGCTTGTGAATTGTGATATTATAGCGCTCATATTTTCAATGTACTACAGTGTAGCTAATTTATTATTATTTATTAGGTTTATAAGAATTTGACATAATTCTTCTATCTGTTTATTTTTTAATTATGTTTTTATCTCTATTGAAAATAATAATATATTTATGTTTGAATCCCGTGAAGTTTTCATCACAATAAATATCGTAAATTAATTAATGTACCTAAGTATGCAATAAGATTTTAATGAAATAATATATTTTATAATGTATATTGACTTTACTAGCTATACCTACTCGAYAACAACTTGAGTTAAAATATACTTTGATTTATTTGATTTTTTCATTCTATACTTTAATAGAGTTCCTAAACTCAATAAAAAGTTTACATATTAGTTTTGATCGAATAAAMACAAAGTACTTAGAAATAACAGTTCAAACTCCATAATTTTAAAAGCAATAATACAATATATAGATCGATTTTTATAAACTCTTCTAGGAAGAAATATGGTACAGTAAAATGTAAAAAAAAAACATCTTAATGTTATTATAATTCAATTTAATTTTAAATCTATATTAAATCAGATATTAAACAAACACTTAAAACTAAACGAAAAACAACTCTCAGGTTTATATTTTATAGCTAGGTAGTTATATATATTTTTTTTAAATCATCTTTGATATTTCAATTTTTTCAAGTACAACAATACACATTATTATGATGCCATTTGGCTTTTCGTCATATTATGTATAATATAACCTATAAATCAAAGAAATTCCGCCGTTGGTAATATGCTCCATCCAGTTGAAATATCTATTTGATATGTTTCACAAGAATTCTACTTGCTTATGAAGCCATTTATAATATTTATCGAAAATGAATTGCTTTTTTCTATTTATGCGTGCATTACAATATTTACTCGCGATCGATCAACATGTTTGGTTTTTTATCGTCTCGCAATCTTATACAATAACTATTTCTGTTCTTATATATTATATAGCTGCAGTAAAAACTCATTTATCACACACATCTATCGACGCGAAGTTAACACTTTTTGGCGCCAAGTAAATGATCTCATCATATTAGTCATTATGAACGAGACTATAATTTTTTTCTGTATTTTTTCTTCAGAAGTTTTAAACTATATATTCAGAATATGTATTGTACTTACTACTTATATAATACAACTATCCACCACTTCCGTTCCAAGTAAGTCGCATTGTATCAATTTATCACGAGGGAAAACTTACTTGCTCTCGATCCGCAGATGGTATAATGAAGATTAAATTTATATTGGCTGCTTATTGAACATAAGTTTGCATTGTTACTAATTGAAATCGTCGTTCAAACTGAATATATATAAACATATATAAACATCACTACCACGGTCGTTGGTAATATCCTGTACTCAATACAAGTCTCGTACTAATATATATATATAATATTGTATAACTTATTATTTTCGTGATCGTATCGTTCAGCTTAATCAGTTGTCTTTGAATTTATCACGTTTACTTGATTACCATTGTATGATATTATTATGTTTGAATCACGTGAAGTTTTCATCACAATGAATACCGTAGATTAATTAATATACCTAAGTATGCAATCAGATTTTAATGAAATAATATCTTTTATAATGTAAGTATATTGACTTAATTAGCTATACCCATAGGCGCAACTAAAAGCCAAACACTGGGGGTGCTAAAATTATGCAGATGAAACAGACCCGTGGGGGCGTAGCCCCCACACCTCCAAGTACCATACTTAAATTTTATAATTACTATAACCAATCTTAAATGCACTGTAAATACATAAGCACACTTATATTTAAGTATCTACAGTCTACATAGTAATATACATTAGGAATGTATTACCTATATTATTATTTAGGTAATTCAAATAATGACCAAGTACAAACAGATAAAAACATTTTAGTAACTGATGTCAAAATAACTATACAATTTACATTTTTAACAGTCACTTGCGTGAGGCATATTTTATATTATAAAATTTATAATTAAATCTATAATTCATCATAATAATATGTTTATATAATATACAACATTATACATAATATATTATTTCATATTTTTTCATACGATTTTTCCATTTTTGGTGTTTTTGATCTGGGGGTGTTAAATTAAAGGCACCCCCTAGTTGCGCCTATGGCTATACCTACTCGATAACTACTTGAGTTCAAATATATTTTGGAGGTATTTAATAATTATTTTTTGTTATTAGTACTTACCTATAATTCAAAGTATAGTAAAATTGAAATACATTTTTTTGAAGGACGGGACGTTGCAAGTCTTAGCTTTTAATTTTCCCAACTAGTGATAATTGCTTTTCAAATGCCTTGTTGGTAATATCGAAAATGAGGTTAATATACAATTATAAATCGGCTGTATTCGTTTGAATTGTCGTTAGAGTATTTCTGTGAAACGCAAATTTTTTATGTTATACCTAATATTGCATATGCAGTCTAATGTTTCTGAAAATATTACAATGAAATGGGCAATGATTTACATATTATTCACACTGTTAGCGCTTCTTTTGAATGTTTATTTTAATCGTTTCGTATTTCATGTGAATTTGCTCATATTTTACCCGAGCACATAAGTTTATAAAATATTAGTTGAATGCCGCCACATCATAAAATTATTAGACCTTTGTAGGCGAACAAACTTATCCCGACGACKGTCATTTATTATACAAACAGTCTCATATACGAATCGTTAAGCACTAAGTCCAGCCCCACAAAACGGCGTACTTTATCTTTGCAGTTATTTATTAAAGTTTTCAAAGTCCTAGAATAATATGTCAGATGTTTGACGATATATTGCTGCAGGCCGATGAAATGGCGTGGTATTTTGGTTTACTATGTAAATATATAAACGGGGGACGATAACAGTTTTAAAAGAGATTGTTTTTCAACATATTCTAATGATTTACAGTTTAGATACATAAAACACATTTTTCAAGTATAACGATCAATTAAATATTATTATTTTTCCACATAATGCTTCATCAAGCATACTCACCTCTCTTTCTTCAATAATATTATTATTTAAAATCTGCGTTTTAGAATTTGTATGTTTAGTACCTTTATATATTTAGAGACCATTTTTTAAA